ATGTATTTTTAATAATTAAATTAATGATAATTAATATATTTTTTTTTTTTTTTGATATACGTCTATACGAATTTCGATGTAGAAATAATTTCAGGAAATATAAAAGAGAAGATGATGATGAGGGGGTTTCTTCTTTTTTTTTTTTTTTACAAAGATATAAGTTTGGAACAATTAATTATTTATGCGTTTTCTTTCCTTAGATAATTATTGTTTTTATCATGAAAATCTGATAAAATGTTAGGCTTCGATTTTAATGGATGCGTAACCTTCGACATTAATTGAGTTCGAGTCAACGTTTGACATGAATTATTTATATTTTCTAAGAATTCGCAGGAAACAATGTTTGTTGGTCAAAGTCTTATTTAAGTGAACGATGTCGTAGAATTTGTTGATAATATTACAAATGCGTAGAAAATATTGTGCTTTTATGTTAGAGAATTTTTCTTCTATGTCTCCCCACCTCACCCCCTCATTATCCCCCCCATCATCCTCTCATAATTATCAGTATCGTGAATACTCGTGAATTCTCCGAAAAACATTTTAAAGAATTAGCATTTAATCGAATTGCGATAAGATAATTAAGCTTGACACATTTCGTAAGTTAATTGCAATAATAATGTATATAATAATAATAATAATAATAATAATAAAAAGACTTGTTATTAAAATATTACGAATCTGTATTTGTAAGAAACAACAATAAAAAAGAAAATATCATCGAGGAGCAGGGGAGAGAGAGGGGAGAGTGGGGGAGGAGGAGGAGGGTGGTTGGTAATTATTAACGATATTTCTTCTGGCAATAAAAAAAAAGAACAAAAAAAAAAAGAAAATGTCCGACTAAACGATATAAGAATATTTTTATTTTAAAAACAAATTTTTATCCCCAGATAAAGAAAGAATAGTATCTTTCCAAAAGGAATCACATTTTTCATGTTATGATGTTGTGTTTGATATTTTAGATTGTTTTTTTTTTTTTTTCTACCGATATACGTATAATACAGAGAGCAAGAGAGAGAGAGAAAGAGAGAGAGAGAGAGAGTTCGATTGTTTACAGGATGTCGAATCTTTTTTCTCTTGGTTACATATAAATTTGACCCATGGCAAAATCGAAGGGGGTGGGTGGTTCGGTGGGTAGTCAGCAAACATCTTCGAAAGCAAAGGTATCTTCTAAATCGGTATCTTACTCGTCGTGTTTCCTTCCTCTCGGTATCAGATCTTTCTCTCTCTCTCTCTCTCTCTCTCTCTCTCTCTCTCTCTCTCTCTCTCTCTCTCTCTCTTTATGTGTACGTCTCAAGCTAAGTTTCTTCTTCAAAGCTCCTGCCAACTTCCTGGAATATCGCTTTGTACCTTCCTACCGCTCGACTTTATCTTTGAACTAGACGACCGATTGGAGGAAAGGGGGATGTTCAATTTGTCATTTTGTTTGACTAACGCTTTGGTGATGCTCCGTTTCGTTAAGACGATCGATCCGTTGAATTTAACAAAAAACATTAAAAATATTGTGAAAAAAGGATACATATATATACATACACATATGTGTATGTATTTGTAATATACAGTTTTTAAACGAATTACCATAGTAATATAATTATATATATATACATTATATATATTATATACACATATATATATAAAGAATCTTTCTTCTATGTCTCCCCACTCCACCCCCTCATCCCCCCAACATCCTCTCATCCCCTCATAATTATCAGTTTTGTATTTATTTGTAATATATAATAATATTGTGTGTGTATATAAATGTATATGCTCATAATTATGAATGTGATCTAATTGTAAGTTAAAATTTAAAAGAAAAATAGAAAGCATAAGTTTATATCAGTTATTTCACATGAAAATATTTTAAATGAAATTTAATTCAATGTAATTTTCACAGTATTGTTAAAAATGAATCGTTTTTGTTTCAATGTTATATATATAGAATTAATTTAGTGTTCTTTAAATATTTCGAAAGAAGAGATATATGATTTATGGTTTGACCACTTTCATAATTACGAGGCACATATATATATTTCTACAAATATTTATTATTAGATCGTAATACCATCTGTGAGATAGTTTAAACATTTAGATCACGGAAGTTTATTTTCGTAAGGTAATCGTTTGAAATGCAAATTTGTATTGAAAAAACAAAAAAATCGGTGTTATCCTATCTCTCTCTCTCTCTTTGCACAGTTATTTCTGTGCTTTATTCTTAGAATTTCGGATGTTTCATATTTTGTCAATTTTTATTAAAGTATTTTTTGCTATTATATATTCCATCGATGTTTATTTTCGTCTTTGTTATCTTATCGTTTCTAGTTTTTTAACAATCAACTTTATTATCCGAATTGTCTATCAATTTTCATTCTTTTCGAATATTATCATTATTCCGAGTCCTTGGGGGAAAAAAGTCACCTTTCTCGTTATCGTTTCTTAGATAATATATACTCATTGTCAGATATTCTGTGTCGTCTCGAAGATCGATATTATCGATTAAGTTTGATCGATCTTGTTGACAACTCGAGTATCTTGAAATCTTGTTTTGATCGATTACACGGATATGGGGGGGGGTGGAGGGAGGGAGGGAGGAACGTTCTCATTTAAGTGTGAAAATGATTCGATATTGTATCTCTGTGTATATATGCACACACATTTATGTGTTTGTAATAAACAGGATATTAAAAATATTAATTTTTTAAATAGAGACAAGAGAGATAAAAAGCAACGTCTCAAAACGTTGAACGTGACTTTACATTTTGTTTTATTAATCAAACATTTCAAGTTATAATACGGGTTCATCGTACTCTAATCGAAATATGTTATTTTTTTTCGAGTGTATCGATACTTAAATATGACCATTAGTGTCGAGTATCTTTTAATTAATACTTTTTCTTTCTTTCTTTATTTCTTTATATTGTTTTTATAGCACGTTTGTTTTGATTTTCTTTAGCAAATTCTTTCGAATTATCTTTTCTCATGGAAAAGAGAACGCGCGAGGGGGTTGGAAACAACGAGGACGCGCGTATATTGCTCTGACGGGGTAGAAAAGAAAAAGAAAAGAAAAGAAAAAGAAAAAGAAAAGATGTTAGTATGCGGTAAACGAGATAGTTGGTGTGTGTGTGTGTGTGTGGTTTGTACGTAGAAAACTGTGTTATAAGTAGAGGGGACTAGAAGTAAAAGACGCCATGGAGTTTTTAATAACCAACCGGGGAACGGCAGTTAGTTGGCGATAACTTAAAATCTAAAATTCATTGAATCTCTCCAGGACTGTCGAGAAAATTTGTAACCGACGATGCACCTCGTATCGTAAAAAAAAAAGACACCAGGGAGGACACGACGCATGGAAATAAAGGAAAAAAAGAATATGTGTGTGTGTGTGTCTGTGTATGAGAGAGAAAGAAAAAAAGTAGTAAGAGAAATTTATGCATAATCGAAATATTGTTTTAATTTTGATCTCGTTGAAATAGATGTGTTTCAAAACTTCTTCTTCTTCTTTTTTTTTTATTTAAACAATTTGAAAAATCAATTATTTCTTTTTTTTTCTTTACATTGATACAAGATTGTTAATCTTACGATAGAGAATATACGCGAGAGAAAATACACAAAAAAAAAAAGGTGTAATTTATTTTAAAAAATCATCTAGAAACTTGCGTGACCACCACCCTACCTACCTCCCTCCCTCATTTCGTATTTCTTATAATTTTTTAATATTCTTATTCTTTCTTTTTTTTGATCGTTCGTGCATTTTTAACATGGTGTATCCGATGATCAAAGAAAGATAGTGAGAGAGAGAAGGGGAACGTGATAGAGATAGAAATACGTATTAGTTCGTCTAGAATTACTCAGTACGGATTTTGGTTTTATCGTGACGATGGTATACAGGTAACGGGGAGGAATGGGGGTGGGTGGGGAGTAGGGTAACGCGAACTTCGAGAGAATTTAAATCAAGATTGACAAAGTTTTGAAATTAATTTTTATCGAGTTTCGAAGTGTCCTTCCTCCCCTGGTTCTTTCTCGAACGCTTCGACCTCGATGCCTTCAGAATGAACGTTCCACTTTCATAATAACCTCCTGCCAAGCGAAGATACTCCCCGGAAATCTAATAAATATTAAATTCATAGATATACTTTTTTTTTCTTATTTTTTATTTTTTTTTTTTTTTTTTTACACCGGGAATGCACGGCATCGATGATATTATGTTTCATTGAAGTATCGTGTGTAGTATGTATTTCTCAACGATATCATGAATTATGTATACATTTATTCTATGATTATTATCTTGTTGGCTTTTCTTTTTTATTTTTTTGCTTTTTTTATTCTGATTATTTATTTCATGAACTCTCTCTCTCTCTTACGTGTATTTAATTTAAAATCATATTTATACTATTTTTTTGTATGCTCATAATTATGTAACTGGTTTAAGTCAGAATTAAAACAAAAAAAAACATGATGATTTATTAGTTATTTCACACATCATACATTATTTTTAAATTATATTATAATTCAATGTAATTTTAATGTGATATTGAAAAAATGTGTATTTTAATTTAATATAAAAATAATATAAAACAATCTGAGGTGGGATTTACTGATCGTCTCCTTGTTAGATCACTTTAATAATTAAAACAATAAATTCAAACAAATAGGATATATTTTATTGTTGTTGTTGTTGTGTTGAGAAACAAACGAATTACTTGTGGGTAACGTTGTTCAATTTTTCTTGTAAGTCCATTTTAAACACTCAGGGCTCAAAGAAGGGTAGGATGATTAAAAATTCGATTAATGTCACGTAAAAAATGAACGAAAGAAAAAAAGAAAGAATGAGAGAGAGAGCCTATTATTAATCGATAATCTGTTTTTATTCTGTTACAGTGGATCTCTTACAAATGTTGGAATTCAACATGCCGGTGTCGTTTCCAGCTGCATCTCTTTTAACGGTTATCCTGGCATTGGTCGGTGAGTATAATATCAAAAGGAAAGAAATAAAATAAAAATAAGTATCCTTTACTTTTCTTTTCTTTTCTCTTTTCTCTTCTCTTCTCTTTTTTTTATTTTTGTCTTTTTTTGTTGTTGATATTCACTCGAACACTCAGGGTAATATTAAACACTCAGAGTATTTCGTTATCTTGACGAAAATTTAAGTAAAGTTTGTTTTCGTAACTTTTGGCATTTAATCGAGTTAAACGTTGGACATCGTCGAGTTTAGAAAGAATAAAGCGAATAAGTTGAAGTTGAAGTTGAAGTTGAAGTTGAAGTTGAAGAAGAAGCAGAAGAAAAAAAGAACCTCCACATTTACACACACAACCAATGCACAGAAAGAAAGAAGAGTGAGAGAGAGACACGTACAAAGGATTCAATGAAATATTTAAGGTCTCCTTTTTTACTAAATCAGTAACGGTGGTGGCGTGTTTCGAGAGTCTCTTCGTTCCCTTGTCGGTACGACGTTAGCTCTGTTACAAAGCTGATTGGCCGGGACGGTTAACCGAGGATTCTGCATAAATTTCTGATGAAGGCGCAACAGTTGGGTAACCCGCTCGAAGTCCATTTAGGAAGAGGTCGTCATACGGGGGTGGTGGTGGTGGTGGTGATGGTTGGTGTTGTACTGCCATAGTCCTCGTTATCCTCGTTCCTCCTCGTTTCGATGCCCATTTCCATTTATTTCAAAATTCCTGTTAAAGGATCATACTGTTCCTTCTCTCGTCCGTTAACGATTCATTCATTCTCGTAATATTCACGAAAATATTCAATAATTTTACATTTATCATCAAATGAACACAATCATGCTTCTCGTTGTTGTTGTTGTTGTTGTTGTCAGTCTTTATAAATCAATGTTAACACTTAAACATTAATAATATAATTTGACAAATGTTTCATGAGAAATCAAAGTTTCTTTTTTATATAAATATCTATTATAATATTATTCATTTCTATATCAAAAAATTTTGTATAATGTTAACGATTGTTGTTAGATAATTAGACAAATATACATATATATATGTATTAATATTATATACTCGAACATATACATACATACATATATATATATTTTATACAACTTATAAGTCGGTGGTATATACTATACGTTGGTCGGCTTTTCATTGGCTTATCCTAAAATTCTCTACTCGTGTTTGGATGGTCCGATGGTATCGTAGGGCCACCAGTTGCACGAGAGCCAGCAAAATGGCAAGAGGAGCGTTAAATTTCCGGATTCACGTTGCTGACTGTAACCCTCTGCTACTATCTCTCTCTCTCTCTTTCCATTTCTATGTATGTGTGGTGGATATACGTGCAAACGTATATTGGGTTTAGAGAGGGTAGGACTTGTAGAAGGAAAGGAAAGTAAAGGAAAGGAAAGGAAGCCTCAGGGAAGTTGTTATCTGAAGTAATGGGTTCCGGTTCCTGTGTCGCTTCCTGCCCTTCATCCGTCATCCTTCTTCGAGTTTCTTCTCTGAAAATCCTCACGATTTCCTTCGACCCTCTACAACCAAACCTTTACCTTCCCCTTCTTTCCTTTCCTTTACTTTACTTTCCTTTACTTTACTTTACTTTACCCTTTTTACTGCATACTACCTTACTCCCGTTTTACTTCGAACGCGTGGTAACGAGTTTTATAGAACATCCGAATGCATTCGTACAAAAATACATATTGCAGTTCTTTTTTTTTTTTTCTTCTTTCTCCCAAACCTATGGGGAAAGATTTTTTTTCGGCTGTCGAACTATTTTCGTCTTTTATTTGAAAACACGAAATTGATTTTTTTCCATTTTAACAATCAAATTTTTCGCTAAAACTCGCGAGGATCGAATTCGAATGATTTGTATAGATATGTTAATTATAATTAATATTTGTATTTTATTTGTTGAATTAATATTATTCTCGTGGAAAATAACGAAAATAACTTTTTGGTTATATTGTTAAATGTATGTATGTATATATATGGGGTATTATTTATGCTAGTTTACATCGTGATTTAATCGACGCCCTGAAATGATGCGTTCCAACGATCTAACATCGTTGTGAAATCGTCCACGCGTCATTCAGCATTTACTTCAGCTCGGGAACAGCGATTTTGCATAATGGAATGTCAAAAGAACGGAGAGTAACCGGCAGAAAAGCGTATTAGTAACGCATGATCGACCACCCAACATGCTGTAAACGCATTCTCAAGAGTACCAGCAACATGTCGCATTCTTTATATTGTTTTCTCTTTCATCCATTTAACAAACAGAGAGATTCTGACTTTTCTGAAGTTTTTCTCTCGAGTTAAGTTATTCCATCGAATTTTTCTTCGATTTTCGTTATTCTTCAGAAGAATATTAAACATAATAACAAAGTTATATATACTTGCGCTCTTCTGTAAGAATCTGATATTTTCAAAGTGTTTCTTTTCTTTTTTATTTATTTATTTAAACAACGTTCTCGTATATATATTTTTATTTCTTTTTTTTCCACCCCGTTTTTCGGAAAAATTCTTGATAATATTAAAAATTCGTTGAAAAATATCGTGACAAAAGATTAATCATTTAAAATATAAATACATAATATAAAACATTTTTTTTTACGTGGTAGAATAAATTTAAATTGTGTGTAAAAAAAAAAAAAACAGATTACAATAACGCGTATCAGATTTTGTGCATAAAACTGTGGGAATTGTTATTGGGGGAGGGGGGGAAACAGAAGAATTGTTTGATATATTGTTAGAATCTATTGTTTGAAGAGTATTTCGAGAAATGGTCTACACGTGAAAATAACTTTCAAAACGTTATTCACACGTATATCCAACACATATATATAAAGGCCACACGAGTTGACCGCTAGTGAAATGTAGGAAAACAGGCTTGTCAAACGTACAGCTGTTGGGATCGTTGTTTCCGGTGGAAATGTTTGATGAAATTTCCAGTGGTCCATTGGTCGTCGTCGTCGTCGTCATCGTCGTCGTCGTCGTCGTAGTAGTTGTCGAGAAATTTGTAGAGGTACATACATTATGAGGTTTGTATCTCTGTCAACAAAGTGTCGATGTGTTGTTTCTGATGGTACGTAAATGGCCATGGAGAGAATTATGTTTCTCTAATAAATAATAAATATAATAATTATATTCAATTTTCATTTAATTGCGTAATAATATTTATTAAATCATTTCTCAAATTTTATTCTTAATATTTTTAATTATTTCATATTATTTTACACACATATTGTGATACAAAGATATTAAAAAAAAAAGATATAGTAGTGTAGAATAAATCTATATATCATTCAGTGTAGTAACAAATATAATATAAAATATTATGTTAAGAAAAATTTATTAAGTGTAAATAACTTTTGGAACGATCTAACTACTTA